TCAGATTGTCGAGCATGGCAGATTTTACAGGACCTCCAATCACACGTGGGTGACAATAGAGAGGATACAGTTTGTAGGAGCGTGTAACCCACCGACTGACTGGGGAAGGAAACCACTGTCTCACAGGTACAGTATGCTGTAGTGGGCATTGAATACTGTATTATTTGGGAGGGATACATTTTTGTATTGCAGTATACCATATAGCACTTTAATTGGGCATTTTTTATTTTGGCAATTGACAGTCTGCAAGCGGAATTTTCAATGTTAAAACCGCCAATCATTAATGAGTACAGTGTATGCTCAGTAATGCGCGTGTACACAAAATTGCCAAATTAAAAACTGCCAATTATACATGTAATTTTATTGCCAAATCACCAAAATAAAGCACTATACAGTATTTATTGGCAGTATGGTACTGTTGTAATGATACTGTGTGGTTTTATTGTTTGAATATGTTGTGGTGGGCATTGAATGCCTCTAGTTTGGGGAGTGGTAGATGTTTGTTTGTACAATGTTATAACTGGCTATTGTAATCATGCTGTGTAACTAAATCATTTGTACACGTTTGTGTTGATGATAATTACAAATCATTGTAATGTAATTAAATAATTAATTGCAGCTGTGAAGGAAATTAAGAAATCCCACCTGGTTGAAGTGAGGGCTCTGAACAACCCCCATCAGGTCATCAAGATGGCACTGGAAAGCACCAGCATGCTAATCGGAGAACCTTACACTGACTGGAAGAGTATCAGACAGATTATAATGAAGGAGAACTTTATAACACGTTAGTAAGGCTGTGGGCCTTTGGTGAAGTGGGCCATTGCTCAGGTAAGAGAGAGAGAGGAGTGTTGTAGTTAAAGTCTGATTTTAATTGTGTATATGGAATTTATTGATACATATACATGTTCTTTTGTTGTGTAGAGAGTTTCAGCTGATTCTGATTAAATTTGGATTTTTTATGAATTTTTAAAGTTGCTCAAAAATTGGGTCAGTACAGGGGCGTTAGCTAAATTTTGCTAAAATTATAAAGTAGAGAATTCTCAGTTTTTGTAATATTTTCTGATACATATACAGGCACCTGTCCTTATGTTGTGTATAAAGTTTGAGTTAATTTTTTCTTATTTTTTCCAAGAGCATGGGAATATTTTCGGATTCTTTTTATTTAATTTTTGGAATTTTTTTGTATTTTTTTGTCATGAGTGTGGGAATATTTTTGGATTATTTTATTTTATTTTTGGAATTAAAAAAATTTTTTTTCAGGAGTGTGGGAATTTGTTTGGATTTTCTTTATTTAATTTTTGGAATTTTTTCTGATTTTTTTCGAGAGCGTGGGAATATTTTTGAATTTTTATTTAATTTTTGGAATTTTTGTATTTTTTTTCTCATGAGTGTGGGAATTTTCAAATTTTTTAATTTTATTTTGGAATTAAAAAATTTTTTTTCAGAAGTGTTGGAATTTATAAAATAATGTTTGGTATTTTAATGAATGACTGTAGACAGGATTGGATTTTATGAAGGATTGGGTAAGCTGTTTTTCATACATGCACTTTTGACCTTAAATGTTATTTAACTATTGGATTCAGAAAGGCACTTCATTTATCACAAGTAAATGTGCATGTACATGTACTTATGTGTAGTGTAGAAAGTTTGAGCTTATTCCAATCAAATTTAGATATTTTGACAAGTTGGTGGCATAGGGAATTTTAATAAATATGCACATTGTAGGTAGAGGTATTCAGAAGATATTGAAGGTGTGGCCACAGACCAGTGTCCCGCCCCCTCAGATTCACTACTTGATGTTAGCACCAATCCCAGTACAGATTGGACTCAATTGGTAAATGGAAATGAAAGAGAGGGACAGAATGGGGACATCAAATCCAGTGAGTAGTGAACAATATCCATGTACATGTACATGTACTTTTTGATTTACATGTACAGTGTACAGTACAGTATGTATAGCAATGCATCTATAGATAAGGAACTCTCCCATTTGAGAGAGACTGTGTTGTACATGTACAGTATGTACATGTAATTATTGTGTATTAAATCTCATCATTAATTTTCTTGTTACTTTCAAGAGTCCAGATAATGGGATTATCTTATTATTATTTTTATTGTTATTTATCTCACTTTAACTTAGAATGTACATGTACATGTATATCAATTTTATTTGCCTTTATGATGTACAGTGTATGTACATGTACTCTTCCTGTCCTCCTCCTCTTAGTTCTATCACAGGATGTGGTATCTTGTGAGGCCAGTCATTCCCTGGCAGTGTGTGTCTTACTGGGTGTCTGGTCTA